CTGTGTTTTATTTCATTCCCACATGTTTAACCGTGCATATTTGAACAATTCTTCTCTCAGAGTGAAAACACTGTTCCACCTTGTGATGTCATGCAGTGATACAGGAAGGAATTGCCAATCTCCACTGAACTGAAGCTAAAATGTAGACGTTAACTTGAAAACTACAACTTCATGACATCACAAGGTGGAAAAGAACATTTTTAGCTTTGGAGATGTAGACAGACTAATAAATGTAGTTAATACGATTAAGTGAGATTCAGGAGCAGGACCACGCCTCAGCCGCCCTCTCCTCTCACCAGTGAACCACAACTCACCTCGACCACGCCTCTAATTTCCCAGAAGCCTATATGTAGCAGCCTTTCCCATCATCCCAGTTTGTCTCGGCGAACTCGACCCCACCCTCCCATCCCCTAGTTTGTCTTTCAGTCATAAGACCCCTACAAGGGGGGGGTCCCGTTCCTGGGCCAATTGTAGATTGAGACGGAGCCCCCACCCATAGTCTCAACCCAGACATCTTTGCCGCGCTTCGTACATTATCAATAAACTTCTTCGCACTATGTTGTTGGCGTGGTCCTAGCCAGTGAATAAAGGGTTACGTAAATGTGTGAATGAATCAAAACACTAATCCAAGTATGTCTTTGATGAGGTAACAACATTATAACATGACTAAAAGCTCACAAGAGTCAATTTTGTGTAATATAGCACCTTTAAATCTACCTGTCACAAAAATCACAAATATTTTTCCCCCATCGTTCAGCCCTGCTTTTTAATATAATTTTTATCACATGTCTTTTATTTAGACTTCCCCTCCTCTCATACCTTACACTACTGTGATGTTCGGCATGGGTTTGTGCTTCATCTCTGGGGAGGTTTTCTATTAAAACTCTGCCGACTCCTGCTCCTCCGCGTCGCCGTGTGTGAGATCTGAAATTGCTCTGCTGCTCCATTTGTAACAAGATTGTTTGTCCGAGTCAGTCAGATCAACACGGCCATATATTTTGTCGCCTGTCCCGCAGCAAATTGTGCGTTTTCGAAATGTGATGGTTCTCGTTGGTCCTTTGTCACTGGATTTGTTTATTTTTGTCTGTGTTGTGTGTTTTTTTGCGTGCGTAGTTTTAAATGGGAAGGTGCTAGCTCTCTGTCTGTGCCCTATCAGAGGTGGATCCCCAGGGCTTCACTGTTTCCTCACAGCGCCACAAAGACACATGTAATTGTTTTAGTGTGGATATGCAGAGAGGGAGGAAAAGTAGTAGTAGTAGAAGTGGTAGTAATAGAAGTGGTAGTAGTGATAGTAATAGTAGTAATATTTTCTCATGACAGCGCCACAATCACACAGGTAATTGTTTCGGTGTGGCTATGCAGAGAGGGAGGAAGGAAAGAGTATTACCAATAGTAGAGTAGTTTTTCTCATATGTAGTTTAATGCTTAGTAGTTTAACTCTTTGTAATTGGTAGGTAGACTTTAGGGAAATTTATTCTTTGCATTTGACCCATCCTTCCATGCCCCAGAGACATCTCCTCAGGAGCAGTAGGTGCATAGTCGCACACTCGAGGACCCATCAGTGTGGTGGTGTTGCTTGTTTTGGTCAGGACTACCTTAGCTGGAGGATATGACCTGGGTTAGCTGGAGGATGGTGCATGGTTTGGTATGTTGTGGGAAACTGGAGTGCCCCGAGAGGGCCCACCCAGACACAGGGAGAACATGCAAACTCCACACACAAAGGTCAACCCAGGGATCTAACCTGGAACCTTCTGGCTGTGAAGCATGAATGCTGCCATTGTGAGGGAATTGGGGCTGTAAAAAATACATACTACTAATACTAATATGATATTATGCTCATGTAACTTAAAAAAAAATAGGACAAACATTGACATTTCCAGAACAGTTTTATACTGTGTTGATATATCAGAACTATTGTAAGGCCACGTGTTTTCTACTGAACAGTAGCAGTGGTAATATTTGCAGTAGTAGGCGTGAACCTCCCTTGGGCAATTTTCTCATGATTTCAGTCCTCACACTTCCACTTAATTATATAGAGATGCGGGAGATCTCATTTAAAGTACAAAGTAGTAGCAGTCGTAGCAGTAGGAGTAGTAGCAGCAGCAGCAGTAGTAGTAGTAGTAGTAGTAGTAGTAGTATTTTAGAGTGGTTATTTTTTGCACGTTTGCTCTAGCAAAATTATGTACAAAATCACTACATTGGAAGACCTCAAAATCTGTGTGAAATACTTTTATAGTATGTAGTAATAGTAGCAGTACCAGCAGTAAACTAAGGCAGTAAAGCTCTGAAGTTACAATGTGTATAGCATAGAATTTATTTATAGCCCCTTACATAGCCATAGCATTTTAATTTGCATATATATAATATTTATTCATTAATGCTGTCAATCGATTAAAATATTTAATCGTGATTCATCTCATGAATGCCATAGTTAACATGTGATTAATCACAAATTAATCGCACATTTTTGTACACTGAATAATCATTTTAATACTCTTATCAACAGAGAAAAAAGGATAGGCTTTGTGCAAATGTTTATTTATTTATTTATTTTTTTATTGCAATTGTGTTTGCAACTGTGCAGCACCAGCTGTACTAAGGGCGATGATGTCATCACATAGCACTGTTTGTTTACATGTTGCGCAGCAGAGCTCATGCTTTTAATGGAGAAAAGAAGTCCAGCAGCAGAAATATCTATTAAATCGTGAGACCAATATGAATCCTACTCTGATACACGCTCCTCCATGAATTTATGGGTATAAAAACGAGGACAGCCAGAAGAGAGACTACAAAACTTGTCTCTGTCATAGTCCTTATCACTGTATGTTTTGGAGCAGACTTTATGTCTTGTTTTCCTCTTATGAGGAACATCAGCACACCAGACAGGGCTTCTCAGTTTCGTACAAATTGTTTTGCTTCCTGTTATCAGCTGGATCCTGTAGTTTTTCTAACGTTACTAGCAGTGGCCACCAACAAGTAGTTTGCGATTAAAAAAAATAATAACGGCATTAAAATCGTTAACTCATTAATTTTATTATTATTTTTTTTTATTTAACTCAATAATTAAATTGGATGGAAACGTTAAATCGTTAACTCATTAATAAAATTTTTTGACAGCAATAATATTCATATACATTTTGTTTCTGACTGATGGAAATGTGGCTTCCAGATTTTCACCACAATCAACCACATTGCTCAGTACAAGTCCATTATCCCACACCTCCTTCTGAATACTAGTATTTGTACTTCAGTACGTTTATATGCATGCATAGATCCGCTCCCTCTTGTGGTTTTTATTCTCATTTTTCCGTGTAGACCTGTTCATTAGCTCAGCGGGAGGCATGTTTCTGCTGACTGTGTTTGGTCCGACGCCTGGGGCCCTCTCTGATCAATAGTCTCCACAGGCCCAGCACGGCAGAATCTGATTGGTCCAGAGCCTAACAGCACAAAGCCCCACGTCAATATTTACTCTCATCTGTATGGGCACGATTTGGACGCCGATGCAAACAATTAAATGAACTAAGCATAGAGTAGTAATGATAAAAGTGAAAGTGGATTGGTGAGGGATCAATGCTGTTGTGTAAGAGTGTAACTAACTGTTCAATATGCAGTAATTATTGTTGCAAAATGGTTGGATGGTTTAATCAAATGGATAGTAGGTCAATACTACCAAATAAGAATAGTAGCAAGTAGTTAATGTTTCATTAACAAAAACATAGCTGGAGTTGTGTTTTGGTTCATGCACATGTTTAACAGTTCTTCTCTCAAACAGAAAACACTGTGTTCCACCTTGTGATGTCATATGTTAATACGGAAATGCACCAGTGTTTTTTTTTTAAACTCCATACACCTTCACTAGAATTATTTGGATGATTCAGCCCTGGAATTGCCAATCTTTATTGAACTAAAGGTAAAAGGAGCTGTTAACTTGAAAACTACCACTTCAAGACATCACAAGGTGGAACAGCATTTTGAGCTTTTAAGATATAAACAGACTCATAATAAAGGATTACTAAAAGATGTGTAAATGAAACAAAACACAACTCCAAGTATGTTTTTCATGAGGTAGCAGCATTGTAATATGGCTAAAAGCTCAAAAGAGTCATTTTTGCGTAATATAGGTTTTCGCTATCACAATTTCTTTCCTCTTTCCTGGCATCAAAAATAGAAATAGAATAGGAATTGGAAGTTGGTGGTTGGTGGTCATTGGTCAATATAGTATAGTATGCAAGCTGAGAGGGCTAAATGGCATCTGGTTTTGATCAAATGAGCTGCTATAGAGTAGAAATGGTGAAAGGAAAAATTAATTGGTTTGTGATCAATATTGTACAGCAGCTGAACCAATTAGATCTAGGATTCAATATAGTGACATTCATGAATCTGTACATTCAGTAATCTTTGGTTTTGAAGACCTGGTTTAATGGCCTCTACAAGAACCTTTGACATAGCAATATAAGTAGTACTTCTTGTATCATCGTTTTCTTCTCGTAATATTTTTCTTTGGTATAGCTTTACTTGGGCACCCTTTATATTAAAGATCCTATACGATCCTATATGTTATAATGTTACCTGACCAAAAACATACCTGGGCTTATGTTTTGTTTCATTTACACATGTCTGAATAAAACTTTATTATTAGTCTGTTTACATTTCCAACGCTCAAGGCTCAAAATGTTCTGTCTTGTAAGGTCATGAAGCTATAGTTTTCAAGTTAACAGGTCTTTTTACTTTTTGTTCAGCAGAGATTAGCAGATGGATCAGAGTTTATTGGGTTTTTTTTCCTTTTTGAGAGAATAACTCATCCTAAATATGCAGGATTTGTGTGTTAAACATGTGTGAATTAAACAAAACACAACTCTAGATATGTTTTTAATAAGATGGATAGGTAGGTAAGGTAGGATGGGAGGAGACATCGCCTGTCTCTCTCTGTCTCATCTGTCTCTCACCTTTTTCTCACCTGTCTCTCACCAGTCTCACCTGTCTTTGTGTCCCTGTCTCAGGTCTGGATGACTGCCTGCAGCAGTATGTGAAGAGCTTTGAGCGGGAGCAGATGGGGGGAGAGCAGCTGTTGCACATCACACATCAGGAGCTGGAGGAGTTGGGAGTGACAAGGATAGGACACCAGGAGCTCATTCTGGAGGCTGTGGACCTGCTCTGTGCCCTGGTACGTCACCACACTCAACTGTTTGTACTTTTGTGTTACTGTTGCCATAACAAGGTTATACTTTGAGTTAAAAGACAACTGGAGAAGGGAACAGTCACATCTCTGTGGTTTTCTGACTTGTTATGTTGAAAAAATATCAGATATCGGGACAATTACATACCTTAGCCCTAATCTTTAATATTATGGTATATGCCATGATATATAGCATAATTAATAGTACTGCACTGGATTTACAGCACCTTTTAAGACATTCAAAGTGCTTTATTATGCTGGTTATATGACAATCCTTAAAATTTCTTCCCATATCTTAGAAAACCTTTACCTGTCCCACAATGGAAAAAATAACAGTGTTGTACAGAACAGTGCAAGATTAGGTGAGTGGGGATGTAAAAACATTCAGAACAAAATGTATTAGTATAAATAGGCCAACTAAAAATACACATTTATCTAAATAGAAAGAGGTACTTGAGGCTACTAGGTAACCACTGCATACTGCATTTGCCATAAATAAAGTTATAAATTGTATAGTACCCTCTGTATGTGCAGCTGTGTCCTGAATACAGGAGAAATAGACAGTCAGCACCATTATAAGGAGAAGCAACACATTCTATAGGGCCCAACAGTGCAGCTAGTCCTAGTATTTTAGAATACTTCCTATGCTCAGTCATTGTTTACAGCCACAATGACATTTAGCTCCATATTTTATACATTTGCACATAACACACATATAAATCACTCACACATAATCAATAAATCAGGTCCAGAGTAAATGATTTAAATCATATCGCCCACAGTGGAGTTATTTAATATGCATATGGCATTTACTGTATGGAAGATCAATGAGCAGCATGGACTTGCTATAATATTTGTACTGCTAATTACTGCTATGACTACTGCAACTATTACTTCTACAGCTACTTCTACAACTCCTACTACTACTCCAGCTGCTAATACTACCACCACTACTGCTACAGCTACTACTACTACTGTCACTACTACCTCAGATCACCACATTCAAATTTGCATTTTCAGTATTTTGTGAATTTGTGCTGTGGTGGGATAAATATAGCAGGATAATGGACTTTGTCACTATAAATAGTCATTTCCTTTTGGATATTTCTTCTACAAAAAACAACACAAACCCATTCTTATGTCCCTGTGAATAGCTTTATAATTACATTGTTTATTTTCACATACAAATTTGGCTTAGCTCGCACCTGTCACAAACCCACCACCCCATTTCCATTATACAGAGCCTACTGTGTTCCATGCCGGTCACCACTGGCTGCTGTGCTCTGGTCCTGTCCAGGATTAGAGAATTAGGGGGAATTAGGTACTACTGTCCCAAACGAGCGAGAATTGAACCAAGAGGCTGTGTGCAAACGGGGAATGCGGCGGGGCCCTTATCTCCGGGATGCACATGGCTGGGTGGATTAGCGCGTCCTGTTTGAATGTGGCCTAATCGCTACCTCTCTCTCCCCTCCATTTAAAGTGACAGGTTTTCAGGTTTTTTCTAATTATTGCTTGATTTGGTGGGGTAGTGCCTGTGGTGAATATTTATCATGGTTTTACATCAGTTAAGTGGCAGTTTGTGGAGAAAATTTAAAAGGAAAAGTAGGCAAGGCAAGGCAAGTTTATTTGTACAGCACAATTTGTACACAGAGTAATTCAAAGTGCTTTACAGAATAAGAAATATAATAAACTCACAGAGAAGAGTACAGAATGAAAACCTTTCAATCATTTGCACAGCTCAACAGAACTGTTTTTAGCCTGGATGTAAACAGAGTCAAAGTATGCATGTTCAGGAAGACTGTTCCAGGTTTTAGTTGCAAAAAACTTAAATGCTGACTCCCCGTGTTTAGTCCTGACTATGGGCACCTGCAGGAGGCTGGTCCCAGAGTATGAGATGGTTCATATGGCACTAAAATGTCAGAGATGTACTTTGATGCTAGGCCTGACAGTTCAGACATTCATTAATAACATTAATCAACAAAATAAAGTTGTTGTCACTTATTTTTATCACTCTAATTAAACCTATTGTCTAATTTAGTATGGTACATAATAGTGATATTCGCTGTTTTTAGCATTTCAGCTATCAATCTTAAATCTCCCACACATGTCAATATTTTGTTTGGGCTGACCAGCTGCCTATAGAAGGTAAATAAAGCTTCATTTGAACACTTCATTTGAAGAAGAAACTGCACAGAATGGGACTACTGCTGTCTTATCTAGTTTGTAGTAAAACAGGGTGGTAGGTGAGTTTAGAATCAATAAAAATTATGTATTTTAGGAAAAATATCAAAATTGGCTATACTGTATAATAACCAAAATATATTGACAGGCCTTTTCGGCCATCGCTTTCTCTGGATTCTAAACAATCTGTATTGGCATCAGTTATTAAAAATCAATTTAGAAAACCTCTAGTAGATAAGGGTTGCTAGGTAGCGTGTCTAACCATGAAGTAAATTTAGAAACTACCAAAATGAACCAATATGAACTTTAAATGTAAAGAGTGTCCCAAGCACACACTATGCACCCGTCTCAGATAAAACAAAATAAAACATGAGTACAGAGAGGAGCAGTGAGGGAGGAAGACCCCAAATGACTTCACCCCAAATGAACTTTCAGATTTAAGCTTATTACCAACATCAGAGAGGAGGAATATGTGAGCTGTGTCAAGGTACGAGTGGTATCATCATTTTAATGGAAATCTCACTGACATTTGTAGGTAAAGGTATTCACTTTTATAATGCCAAGGTATAACTTGTATGATATATATACATGCACAAAATATAGCCTTGGAAGTATTGGGTATTTTTAAAACTCTTTTTGGGACAAAACCAAATGCATTATTAACATTTTAAAATTCTTGTTCCAAGTCACATGTGGTAAAACAAGGGCCATTAACATCCCATACCATTATTTAAAAAAAAAAAAAAAAAAAAGAAAGAAAAAAGAAAGGAACAGGACGGGACTTGAGAATTATCCATTAAAAATCCATTATTCTTATTATGTATTCATTATGCATTCACAGTGTGCACTGTGTAACTTTTCTGATGGAAGATGATTTCCATCATCTCCTTCTCTCCATGGAGATGTTGCCTGAAATGTTCCACAGTATGGCATCACACAAATTTATGTCATGAGACAGCAGGTGACGCCATAGGGGTTAAATGTTAGATCTGTGGAGAGGTGAGCCCACTCACAGTAAGAATGCAAGAAGTTTTTAAGTCAATAAAAACCCATGTTATTGAATTTAATGTCATACCTGGACATTCCAGAACAAGCAACAACACCTCCATGGACACAAGCAGATGGCAGACCCTCCACGAGAAAAGTTACACAGTGCACCTTTACATAAAATGCGCGTGGTATTTTCCAGTTGTGCGCTCTTGTGCAGGTGCATATTTCAATTTTAGGCTAAATATTTAGATGTCAAACCTATATGTTGAAATAAAGAGGAAATAATTATTTTACATGTGAAAGTCTGCACTGTTAACCTTCAGTGGTAACGGTTGGATCTCCCTCTCAGTCCTATTATAACAGACAATATCTCATTAGCCTAGCTTTAATGATCATTCATAGGCATTCATCATTTTTAAACTAATTATGTTGTGACCTACTGTTAATCTTTTCTGTGATAATTAGAATAGGCTACCTTCATGATAGACCCAATTCAAATGACTGACTCATTAGAGGAGGGTGATGTAGGGATATAAAATTGAATCAACCTGTGATGATCGGCCAATTGGATGAAATGTTCCACAGTATGGCATTAAAGGTGTACAGGTGTTTTAAAAGCTTGATCCAAGGAAGAATAGTTATTCCTGGAGTAATAATTAAAGGGGATAATAAAGAATAAAGAATGATCAACAGTTTACTGTGTTTTATTTTCAATAGAAAATGATTTTTACAAATTTTGGCCAGTTACCTTGTGACTTAAAAAGCCCTAATTAAACTATTTTCTGATCTAATGTTCTAATGTTTCCTCATCACAAACATACATGTTGTTGTGTTCTGTTTCATACTTGTTTAACACACAAACCCTGCATATTTTGTCTGAGTTCTTCTTTCAGACTGGAAACACTCTGTTCCACCCTGTGACGCCATGTAATAAGAAGTGCTCCTATGTATACCCACACTAGAATCATTTGGATGATTTCTGTCCTGGAATTGCCCATTTCTATTGAACAAAAGCGGTAATTGGAAAACTGCCACTAAGTGACATCACAAGGTGGAACAGAGCATTTAGAAGATGATGGATTTAAAAGATGTAGACAGACTAATAAACCTGGATTACCCAACTTGTGTGAATTAAAAAAAACAACTCCAGGTATGTTTTTGTGGAAGTAACAATATTATAACATGGCTTAAAGCTCACAAGAGTCAATTTTGCATAATGTAGGACCTGGTATATTAAGCTTTTCCCAAATCCTGTAGGAAAAAGGGCAATAACGTCTTTCTCCTTGATGAACTTCACCAAACATTCTCTTTATTTCTCTTAAATCCTCGATCTCTTGAATCGTTGACAACACTGAATATATGGCTCTTCTCTAATTGGCTGGTACCCAAACTTGCACTTCCGGGGTTTTTTGCGAACTGCCCATTGTATTTTGTTTCCTGACCTAGTTGCTGGAGAAAAATGTAATTGAGCGGAGGCACTAGGTGACACCGGCCTGGCTAGCACAAGTCAGCTCTCTAGCCACAATAAGTAAATTCTTCCTTGTCAGATTATGTTAAAACAAAACTCAGTCTAACCTGAGTATCAGTACTTCAGCCAGAGCAGTGCCTCCAGTTAGCTCCACGGGTATATTAATGCCTTTGCTTGAAAGATATCAATATCACTTTCTGTAACTACACTACATTAGTTATTTCCTAAATAAATGGCATTATAGTAAGACCAAAATGAACCCTTAACCAGTGATTGTGTGCATGTTTCAAAGGGCCATCTGTGTGCTGCTGAATATAAGGTAAAATGTCTCAGGTCAGCACATCTCTTC